CGAGACAGGGTTTCTCTGTGTAGCTTTGCGCCTTTCCTGGAACTCACTTGGTAGACCAGGCTGGCCTCGAACTCACGGAGATCCGCCTGCCTCTGCCTCCCGAGTGCTGGGATTAAAGGCGTGCGCCACCACCGCCCGGCCACCCAGCATACTTTCTTAACATTACTTTATATAAGGGTTAAGAAACTGCATAAAGGGCTGGAGAGATGGCTCAGAGGTTAAGAGCACTGGCTGTTCTTCCAGAGGTCCTGAGTTCAATTCCCAGCAACCACATGGTGGCTCCCAACCATCTGTAATGAGATCTGGTGCCCTCTTCTGGCCTGAAGGGATACATGCAAGCAGAATACTATATACACAATAAATAAATAATTTAAAAAAAAAAAAAAAAAGAAACTGCATAAAGGGCCTGGAGAGATGGCTCAGTGGTTAAGAGCACTGGTTGTTCTTGAAGAGGACCTAAGTTCAATTCCCTGTACCTATATGGTAATTGGCAACCATTTGTAACTCCAGTTCCAGGGGAGGCAACACCTGAATTCCGTGGGCATGTGGTACACATGCATACATGCAGGCAAAACATTCATGCACAAAATAAATCTTTTTTTAAAAACAGAAACTACATGAAATATTATGTATTAAGAACTGACTTAATTCTTTGAACATGCCAGAATTGAGTGCGCTATTCTATTTGGTAGAAATCAGCCAGCCTCTGAACTCAGGCCTTGAAAAAGGACTGAAATATCAACTGTAATTGTAGCACCATGTCCCGATGGATCCCCCCAGAGAGGGTTCGTCTGGTGGCTGTCCCCGCATCTGACATACAGTTCACCTGTTTGAAGGCATAGTAACAGACGAGAAGGTAGTAGGTGACTTGTGAGATAATCCAAGCAAAGCCCCTTTCTGATGACCGGAGGGAAGTCAAGTCGAGTCGTAGAGAGGTGAAGAAAGTCCCTAATAAAAAGAACAACTGGAAATCAAGAATCTAAGCACTTCTCCTTTTCATAAAACAACTCCAACTGTTGCTGTACATCTATTTCAACCATTTCAGTCTCCACATTCTGCTTAGTATTTCCTGTAGACCTGTCCAGAATATGAAATGAATCATGGGCAAGCTACTGGAGAAATGTCAGTTTCACTAAAGTTGGCAGAGAGAAAGAATATATCTGATTGATCTCAGCTAAAGGGATAAGCCCTTGGCTCACCACCTGTAATAATAGGTGTCCGCTTTTCAACTCAGAGCACAGCAGGGATGAGGATGTAAAGTACTAATACCCCATGAATGTGGAGATGCTTGTATGAGGATGGACTACAAGGGTTCAGATGTGACCTAAAAGGACAGTGAGAATGTGAAGATTTGTGGTTTATAAACTTCCATAATTTTATGAAAGGTCTTGTGAATATTAGCCCTGAAACACCTGAACTGAGATGTACCCCTGGTAGGCAGAAAGTACATTTAGGAACAAAATTGTCTTACTTTATACAGCAAAATCTCAAGATTTAAGCTCTACCCCCCCCCATTTCTTTGGCAGTTAAACAAAACCCTTTAATGAGCCCCAGGAGGCCTTTAGGTCCATTTTGAGTAGTGGTTCTCATCCTGTGGGTCATGACCCCTGTGGGGTCACATATCAGATACCCTGTATATTAGATATTTACATTGTGATTTATTAGCAGTGGTTAAATTACAGTTATGACGTATCAGTGAAATAGTTTCAGGGTTGGGGGTCACCACAACATGAGGAACTGGATTAACACGAGGGTCACAGCACTAGGAAGATTGAGAACCACTGGTTTAGAGAGAAGGGTGGAAGCTGCTTGTTCTGCTGGTCTGGGAGGGAAAAGTTCCCAGTTAAAAGCAGTACACAGTGGCTAATGGGAGAACCTGTAAGTCAGTTCTAGGGGAGAGAGGAAGCAGGGAGGGAGGTGGTCAGGCAGACTTCCCGTAAAGGAAACTACCAGTTAGTATCTGGTTATCTGTGAGATGCTGCTATGACAATGCGGATACCCAGAATGAAGACAAGAAAGAAAACAATGGGAGATGAAAGGTGTGCGCATGTTAGGGATGTATGTGAGTATAAAAGTTAAATCCTCTTCATAGAAAAAGTGACACTTAAAACTGAGAATTCATGAATAAACAACTTCAAAAAATTGGAAAGCCCAGCATAGTGATCCATGCTTTTAATCCCAGCACTCAGAAGACAGAAAGAGAGCGAGCTCTCTCTGAATTTGAGGACAGCCTGGTCTACATAGCAAATTCCAGGAGAGTCAGGGCTATGTAGAGAGACCCTGTCTCAAAAAAAAAAAACCCAAATAATATAAAAAAAAAATTTAAAGTAATAAAAACTTGAATACTCCCCAGTTAAAACTACTCTGGGGAGTAGGAGGTAGACAGGCTGTTAGTTGAACTATTTGACTTAAAAAAGATCATACATCTGAGTAATCCTTCTAATTAAATCTACTGGAATGAATGGTATAGGATCAGTAAAGGAGGCCTGGTCCTGAGACAGCCAGTTTGCAGAGCAAGGAGAGGCGGCCTCCATACCCACACTGTTGGATTCCAAAAGGAGGGTCACCGCACAGAGCAGATTCACATTAGCATTGAAGACCGTGAGTTCCACCAAGAGGGCTTTCGTGCAGTGATCCAGCCAGCGCCTCTGCTCCAGATGCTGCAGGACTCTGGAGACACAGGGAAATGGAGCCAGCTACCTTCCCCATCCAGTGCTGTAATGGAGGACAGCACCCTGGCACTGTTACAGACACCACGAGAAGCCACATTCCTTCATCTAGTGTTCCTACAAAATACTTCACGACTTGTAACACCCAAACTCTCACGGTGGTAACGTGGGTGGTTAACTAAGAAACAAGACATTCACAGTTGTAGTCACACCAAGGTTCGAGACTGAGGAAACACTATTTGGCATTTAATCTGTAAGGCAGGATTAATTTCATAAACTCCATCAACTACTACTTGAAACATTAAGTATTCCTCACCACCACCTACCCAGTACCAAAAGGTGAAAGAAGTGTAGAAGTATAAATGCCATTATTTGATTGACATTGTTTTTGAGCAATTACTTGCTGCTATAATCTTGAAACAAGTTTTATATTAAAATATTGTTACTTTTATTGGGGGTGTGTGTATGTCATGGTGAATATGTGGAGGGCAGAGGACAACTTGAAGGAGTCAGTTCTCTCCTATCCTGTGGCACCTAGGGATCCATCTCAGGCCGTCACGCTTAGAGGCGAGCATCTTTACCTGCTGAGTCATCTTGCCTGCTCAGAAAATAATAATTACTATTTTTTTTTGAGACAAGGTTTCTCTGTGTAGCTTTGGAGCCTGTCCTGGAACTCGCTCTGTAGACCAGGCTGGCCTTGAACTCACAGAGATCTGCCTGGCTCTGCCTCCTGAGTGCTGGGATTAAAGGCGTGCACCACCACTGCCAGGCAGAAAATAATTATTTTAATTTAGACTTTTTTATGCATAATGACAAAGACTCTCAGTATTCATGTATTAAATTACTTTGTAAATCCTTGGCAATTTAGTTTGGGCATTTGAACTTTGGGTTGATGTGTACACCACGGTTCAAAGAGGCTAATGTTTCCTTTTATATTTGAAGATTACAGTGTGTCTAAGACAGACAGACTCATCGGAGTTCAGCTACCCCTAGAATTGAAACTAAAATCTCTTTTCAGATTAAAAACAGTCTTTTTTTTTTTCAAATTGACAAAACAAAACACATTTATAACTTGAAGTTGACCAAGGAATTTTTAAATTTAAAGGTGTAGTTCTAGGGGCTGTGGTCATGGCTCAGTGGCTAAGAGCACTGGCTGCTCTTCCAGAGGACCCAGGGTCAATCCCTAGCAGCCACACAGCAGCTCACAACTGTCTGTGATTCCAGTCTTAGGGCATCCAACACTCTCTTCTGGCCTCTGAGGGCACTGCACACATGTGGTAAACAGACATTTGTGCAAGCAAAATACCCATATACACCAAATAATAATAATAATAAAAATAACATGGTATATTCCCTTAGAAATATAAAATAGAAGTGTGTATAAGTACCAGAGGCAGTACAGAAACATTACAATAGCTGTTGGAACATCTCAGCTGGGCCCAAATTCCTAGCTGTCCTGTGATGGGCCTCTTGTCCAGGGCACAGACTCACCTGGCTGCGGCACTGGAGTTTCTTCCAAGTCTTACAATGTATCCTCCTCCTGAGTAAGTGGCAAATTCCCCTTGGGTGGGATAGCCTCCCAGTGACTCCTGATTCTGATAATGCCAAATACTGTCTGTTTCTGTGATGTTTGTATCAGGGGAGCCCCAGCCAACCCCGTAGTTCTCTCTGTCCTCCTGATGCTGGGGATGTGAGGTCACTTGTTCATGGAGAGATACCGGGAGGAGTGTGTCATTAGGGATGCGAATCTGGCGAAGCAAAACATTGCCCAGAAGAAAGGAGTTTCCATCAGTAATAAATCCTAGTGAGAAAGTAAAAGAAACAATTAAAAAATTGTCTTGTTGCTAACTGAATGAGACAATCCAAGTACACTTCATTGGCAATTTTGAAAACATTTACAGACATGAGCTAATGCAGTCAGACAAAAAGTATAAAAACAAATGAAATTGTATGCCAATTTGTAAATGATATGTATTATCTAGATGAACTAAGAGGATCAATGGAAAATCTATTAACTTAAAAATGATAACTTATCGGGGGGTTACTTGGCACCGACTAATAGTATTCATCTAGCTATACCACTTACAACAGGGGCAAGAATAGACGATCTCATTTAAACAGGAACCCCAAAGATAAACCCTAACAAAAGATGGAAAACTAGACATCCATCCATTCTTCAGCAGAACACATTTTGTACTGACATGACGGAGCCCTGTTCTAGATGCCGGGAACACACGGTGGATGCAAGGGCGTTCCCACCCACCGAGAGCTCACAGGTGAGGACCCAGGACAGACGGCACACCATGTTCAGGTGTCAGGAAATAGTGTTTGTGAGGAGCGACAGTGCTGTTAGGATGACAGGAAGTGTCTCTGGTGGAGTGGCACGGGAGAGACCCAACAGAGCATAACGTAGATGCCAGCAGGGGACAGCAAGTTCTAAGACTCCCAGGGCGATGGCATGATTGATGTACTTAATGAAAGTGACAGACGCATCAGTGGCTGTGGTGGAGCACATGGGGGTTATAGGGGGAAGAGATGAGGTGAGGGGTGTAGGTCAGGGCTGGCCAGAGCAGGCCCTTGTCAGCCGGAGGGATTTGACATTTATTCTAAATGTCTCTGCCGGGAGATTTTGGACAGTGGACTCACAGCTTTATGATTTAAATATGTAGAGATGAAGAATGGAAAAAGGGTTGCCTTTACGAAGGTGAAAAATGGTGCCTTGGTTTAGTTCTAACTTACATTTCTCTTCTGAGTGCAGGCTGCAAAGCCCGGTACTGTTCCAGAACCCGCTGTAGAGTTTGGAAATACTTTCACTATGAGGCTGAGGGTGTGGGCAACTCCGGTACTTTGCTGATAGGATTACTTATTGACACAGAGCAATCTGGAAACACTGTTTTTCAGTCCTGGTGATTGACCACTAATCTATATCCCAAGGCCTTGTTTTTTTTTTTTTTTTTTTTTTTTTGTTCTGTTTTGAGATAGTTTCAGTATGTAGCCCAGGCTGGCTTCTACTTCCCAACTGCCAGGGTTTCAGATATGAACCATCACATTCAGTTTTCAATACTTATTTTAGGCTTATTATTGTTTGAGTGTTGGCCTGCATGTCCGTATGTATACTACATGCATGTTTGGTACCCGAGGTCAGAAGAGGGTGTCAGATTCCCAGAGACTGGAGTTACAGACAGTTGTGGGTACTAGTAATTGAACCTGAGTCCTCTCCAAAAGCAATAAGTGCTCTTAACTCATGAGCCAACTCTCCAGCCCTGGCAATATCTTTTTTAAAGTTAAAAATGTAGGACATGTGGGCACTGGTACTGCACGCCTTTAATCCCAGCATTCAAGAGGCAGAGGCAGGCAGATCTCTGTGAGTTTGAGGACAGTCTGGTTTATAGAATGAGTTCTAGGACATACAGGACAGTTACACAGAGAAACCCTGCCTTGAAAAAAAAAATGTAGGAGGCTGGAGAGATGGCCCAACAGTTAAGGGCACTTATTACTCTTCCAGAAGATTGAATTTGGTTCCAGCACCTAAGTCGAGTGATACTTGCTCACATGTGGTACATTCATAAAAATATATTAGAAAACTGTTGTGTGCTATTATGATTGTGTTCTGACAAATAAAGGTTGCTTGGAGTCAGAGGGAGGAGCTAGCCACTAGCTGATCAAAATTGACCATAGAGGTTTGGAGGACTGTAGACAGATAGGAGATGGGAAGTGGTATGGTGGGCCTGAGAGAGGATCTCGGCCCTTTTGAGGGAGGGATAGAAGAGGTAGGAAGTCACTGGTGGCTGCTCCCCTGCTTCTCTGATCATTCAGGTTCTTACCCCATGTTTGACTCCCGATTTTTTTATAGGTAAAGAATCATTAGATAAACGCTTCAAACAACTGTATATACAGGGACTAGAAAATGGCCTAGTGTTTAAGAGTAGTTGCTGCCCTAGCAGAGGACCCAGATTCAATTCCCAGCACCCACACGGTGGCTCACAACCACCTGTAACTCCAGTCCCAGGGATCCGCCACCTTCTTCTGACCACCACAGACTCCTGCACACACACAGTACACACACATGACATACAAAAAGTTAAAAATGTGTATATACTCTGACCTAGCAAACCTTTTCCAAGGAATTTCTCACAGACACATTTATACATGTGTGAGGTAATTTTTAGCATTCAGACCCACTTCTTGGAGTCCTGGCCAATAAGCAGATAATACCCGGCCCGCCCAGCATCCTGATGTCATCCTACATTTCCATTCCCTTTAAGAAAGGACTCCTCCCCCTTTACCTGCTCTCTTCCCCCTCTCACCACGAGGTAGCATGCACCTCCCCCTCCCTTCTTTCTCTCCCTCCCTCCCTATTTCTCTCTTCCCCTCTCCCCCCTCTCTTCCCCCCACCAAACAGAACTCTCCACTGTCTCTCACCTGCCGTGGGGCCCCTTGGCTCCACCTGCCAAGGCCTCTCTCTCGCTGCCATTTCACAGCAGTAATGATAGGAACAGTCTTAGTATTAAAACCATCAGAGATGAACTAAATGCTGACTATAGAAGTTACAGTGCATCTGTACAACAGACTTCTGTATGTAAGTGGATAAACGGAGCAGAGGCGGCTTCATATACACTGATGGGGACAAATTAGGGGAAAAGCCACGTCCATGACAATGTTTGTAGTTTGTCACCATTTACTGTCACTGAGTCACTTCCCAGACACCCCTACTATGGCCCATGAGACACTGAGGCAAGGTCAGGTGGCTTTTTTTTTTTTAATGGCTGCAACTCTGTGGGCTCCCCAAAGATCTGTTCCCCGAATTCCTTCTAAGCAGGTTTCATTACGTCAGTTCTCCCCAAGGTCAGTGGCTTGAGCAGAAAAGATGAACGGATGAGACTGGCCTGCAGCAGTTTTGAAAGCAATGATGTTTAAGAGCTGAGTAAGTAAAAAACATGCTAGTGTTGACGTTTAACTGCTTTTCACACTGTGCCTACTGGACTGGATTTCTATGGTGATATTTGTGCTGAAATGTGATCTTATTTGTATGTTAATAACGTTGCCTGGAGATCAGAAGTCACAGCGAGCCATAAGCGGGAGTCAGGTGGTGGTAGCACACCTAGCCCTTAATCCGATCACATGGCAGGCAGAGTCCCTGTGGTCAAGGACACATCCAAAGCAAGGTGACCTCAACTTTTAATCCCAGTACCAACCATAGAGACCTGGAGGTCTATATAGACAGGCGGTGACAAGGAAGTCATGTGGTTGGGTTTAGAGCCAATGAGAAGGCAGAACAGAAAGGCAATAAAAAGACAGGACACAGGAAGAAGGTCTCTCTCTCTCTCAGGGGAAGGACGGCAGCGAGTGGTAAGCTAAGGTGGTCTCAGCTCCTGGCTTCTGTCGATCTCTGGGCTTTTAACTCTGCATTTGGCTCTGTGCTCCTTATTTAGTAAGACCATTCAGAATTTCATCTACAGATTTCTTTTTAAAACGAGGTCTTGCATAGTAGTCTGGGCTGGCCTCAGATCCCGACTCCACCTCCCGAGTGCCAGGACTGTGAAGACCATCTGTGGCGTGCTTGTTCTCTTCATCCTGAGGTCGGTCCATCCCGGCAGCAGTATGGCAAAGCTCCGTTTCCCCAGGGGTGACAGGCAGCGCTCCTCTGTCAGCACCATGTGCAGACATTACTTATTCTGAGTACTCAGACCTGTCATATAGGACAGGGCCTGAGATTCTTCCCATTGAATGGGGGAATCCAGAGCAAAGGTTGGGATATCTACCCAGGATTCCACACTGATCAGGCTCTCAGTCTGCTCTTTATCCTGTGGTGCTAAACCCAATACTGTGGTGCTACACTGCTATCCTGTGGTGTTATACCCTATCCTGTGGTTCTATACCCTATCCTGTGGTTCTATACCCTATCCTGTATACCCTATCCTGTGGTATATACTGCAGCCAAGGAGGCCAAGAGGAGACTAACCCCTCTATGGCCTCAACTTTTGCCATCTTGGCTTCTAATCATTTTGCCAATATTTTATTCAGCATAGAGTTATGTATTACAAATAGACCGTTCCCTGAACCTAAAACTGTTGTCATCCAAAACTGTACTTAGGAAAAAAAGTCGCCATACAATGAGTAGGAGTTGCCTTCTGTAGAACGCTCACACAGCCAGTGCACTGGCAGGAGACTGAAAGTGCTCGCAAAGATGAGCATATCCTTCAGCTTCTCTTCAGGAACACAGGCGATGTCCTGAATCTCACCATGAAGCCACCAGCCCTGAGGTAAATGGAAATAATGATTCCCAGAATTCAGCTTACTCAGCAGGCCACAAAGGTATGTTATGGCAAAGCTGGGTAACCGGCAACAACCCAAACCACAGTGATCAAGTAGTGCCTTGGAGGGAAGAAAACTTGAGCCATTTGTACATGCTGCAGGATGAAGCTTGGCAATACCTCTTTTGGTGAGGTCCTTTGAGGACACAGACCCCTTATGACCATTTTTCCCCCAAGATAGGGTTTCTCTGTGAGGCTGTCTTGGAACTGGCTCTTAGACCAGGCTGTCCTTGAACTCACAGAAATCTGCCTGCCTCTGCCTGAGTGCTGGGATTAAAGGCGTGTGCCACCAGTACCTGGCACTGACTTTTTCTTTTTAATCAGCTCCTAGGAAAGGTCTCTGCAGACTGTAGATGTCCAATGCATGTTTGTAGGACTAAACTGGGTAAGCACACAGACAACTTACATACAGAGAGCTAGGAAAAATGACACACGTGGCCAAAAGCCCATCCCATGTAGAGACCATTCTTATTAGACCACACTCCTG